ATAGCCTTCACATAGACAAAAACATATATATCTTGCTTATAAAAACAAAAACTACTACACCACGCAGATCTAAATAGATCTTTAAGATGAACAACAAGAAATTATCTAACATAGCGAAGAAGATGCAAAAAATCAGATAAACTAAGGAAAGAAACACCCAAACCGACAACAACAAACAGAGTGCACCAATCTTCCTAGGCAAAATAGGAGAGATATACATGCGTATGTATCATATAGCTAAACATTGCAAAAGAACAAGTTCTTACGGCAAAAATCGTGCTTCCAACCAATAATCTCTTACGGTTGTCTTTCTCAGAGAAGAAGAACAAGCTAGAGAGGAACAAGAAAGATTCACCTTCTTCATACTCACACACACAAATTCAAAGATTTCAACCCCTCGCTTCTTCTCTCTCACACAAGAAGCCAAGCACCATCAAGCTCTAGCTCTTCTTAGAAAAACCGTCGCTCTTACACCCAAACCACAACTAGCATACTCGTAGCCCCGTTTCTCTCTTTCTCAAACCCCACTTTACCTTGGGGGATAATAAGTTAAGTTAGAAATAAAAAACAACTCACTTAAATAATAAGCAAGAAAAAAGTCAAGCATAAAATTTTTTACTTAAAAAAATAGTAATAAATAATAAAAAAATACTTTAATAAACTTAATTAACGGGATAATTAGTTTAATTAAAATTATTTTTAATTACAACATTATACTGCTAAATATATGTTATAAATCAACCACCTAAAATAGCCATGAATTTTAGTAATAGATTCTTTTTTAAATGCTCACCTTCTCTGCTCATTGTATGTCTAATTTCCTAACATTAATAATATAACATTTGTTGTCCTGAAACTCAGGTAATTAAAGTTAATTAAGTTAAATGCTCATTTATAAATGATGTAATGTGCAATTATAAGTTTTAGAATGTGTAATGAGGCTTGAATAAACTAAGGTTTGAATTTGAAGAGTGAAAACTCAAGATTTGAAAGACGTTGCAGAGCTTGGGATGTTAGCACTGTGGCATTGAGCACTCGGGAAAATAGATAAATTTTAGATTTTGGGGCATGCTTTGCGGCGTTGGGTCTTAGGTGAGAATATGCTTTAGAGCATCTGCAAGATTCTCTTGCGGCGCTGAGAATGTGAACATCACGATACTAGGTCAAAATAGTGAAATTATTATATTAAAATATCTAAGACCATTTAACCATTTCCATTTCCCCCAACCACCTTGCCGGAAAAAAAAAAGAATAAGAGAGGGGAAAAAGAGAAGAGGGAAGACAAAGAGAGGGAGACGATTTGGAGGTCAAAGCTTGGGTTTTGATCGTCGGGCTTGTTACCCTATCTTTGATTTCAAATTTCTTTATTTTTATAGAAAGTTATAAATTAAAATATATTTTTCTTAGGTTTTATTAAGTTTTATGGTGTAAAAAAAATTTTTATATACTGTTTTATGCACTGTTCTGAACATTTTGATTATAAGAAATCAATTTTTTACTAGTTAAAATCCTATATAAATTTCTGAGTATATATTTATATTAAGGCTTTTCTATCAGTTTTAATAGTTATGTAAAAGTCTTAAAATATTTATGTGAATACACCTCTAAAATTAGAAGTGAAACATGAAAAGTTCAATGAGTATACTAGTATGCAAGCAACGTGATATTTATAGACAATTCATGTATTAGTTGGATATTGCATTAGATTTATATTTTAATTGCTATTGCATTGCATTTGCACTATGCATAACATGGCATTGGAGATATTCTAAGATGTGAAAAATATACTATTTGTTATGTAATAAGGGCCCTAAATATTTTATTCTAGCCCTGTCTGTGTTAGGATAGATGTGGGAGGTTATGCAACACTATACGTACTCTTATGGCCCCACATACTTTAGAACATATGTGAAAGAGATTCTAACCCCACTCACTATATGCATGTGTGGGAGATATAGAAGAAAAACATAAGTTGAAGTAACGTTATAAGTAAATATTAGGATATATGTATGATAATCATTGCATTGTATTGATATTAATGAAATTAGTATGAGTAACAACTGAAGTGAATGTTAGGAAATTTGAAACTATGTATGAATTCTAATGAAGTATGAAAGTTAACTACAAGTGAATGTTTGAGGCCAAATATTCTGTGAGGTATCTTGAATTTCTATACAAATGGTTTGACAAGTAAAGTTAAAATTGTAAGTACGTTCAAGAACTTTAAAATTGTGTTTCAATATTTTACTATTATTATATTACTTTACTGCTTTTCTTAATTATTATATTTTTAATTATTTGTAATTCCTCCTTTTAATTTTAATATTGATATATGTGATTGGGTCAGAATGGGAAGTTTACTAAACTAGTTATGTTCATTCTGTTCTTTTAATATTTTAGAAAAAGATAAAGACCCTACTAAGTAGATCAAGGGTAGAGTCCCAAATTTTGGATTTGGGTTAATAAGATAATATTTTTGTAATCCAACATTTAATTATTTGATAAATAGACTTCTGTGATATGAAATATTATAAATATATTTTGAAAAAAATGAATTTTGGTTACATTACTTTTATGATTTTAATTGTTAGTAGCTCTTGTTGTTATTATTAAATGATTAAGTTAAATAATGATAGGTTTATGCAAACCAATCCTTTTACTAGATCTTAGAGAGTCACAGGGTTGTATTAAATCAACAATTTGAAAAGATTTGAAATTGTAACCAAAGCTATATGAAATGAATTATATGAGCAAGTGAAAGGAGTTTGGAGTAAATATAGAACATTGTCTTTGATAAGTATTGAATTCCCCTATATTTTTTAGATTAAAGTGTATCTGCATTACGAACCCACAAGAGCAAGGGGCGGCTAATGGATAAAGTTCCAATCAGGCTGCACAAGGTTAAAGTATAGTGGGGGCTATGTCTTATGATTCGGTGATGTTGTTTGCTAGATTGGAGGCCTAGCTGATGAGTAAGGTTCAGGGGGCAATGGCTGGAGTTAGAGAAGACGAATTAATAAGCATCTATAGTTATTTCTGAGATTGAAGCCCGCTCATTTCCAAGGTGTTGTGGAGCCTCGAGTAGCTAAAAATTGGTTGATGATAGTATAAAGTCATACGATAGTATGTAGTGCCCGGAGGGAAGAGAGTTCGATTTGTAGTGTTATTGATATATGGAGAAGCGAAGCGCAAGTGGGTAGGCCTATAGGGGTAAATCAAACGTAGAGATCAGCTAGGATGAGTTTGTAGAGATTCTAGAGTTTGTTTGTGCACCATCTACCATGGAGTAGATGCATGAGTCTTTTTTGCGATTGATGCAAGTGAGCATGACAATGATGCAGTATGAGGCATAGTTCATATCTCTTGTCAGGTATGTTCCGTAGTTAGTTGGCATCCATGAAGATAAGTGTTATCAATTCATACGAGATCTGATATTATCAATTCATACAAGATCTAAGAGATTATTTGAGGCATCATTTGGCCCAATGTCATATTAATTAGTGATTTCTCTGAGCTCGTTGAGAGAGTGGGATTGGTGGAAAATGATTTGATGTTTACCCAACATTAAGTATTTGAACTTAGACAATAGTAGTATTTGGAGTGGAGTGGTAAGATCTACAACTATGGTTAAATATTATTTTGTGTAGCGCTACATAAAAGTCAACTATGATCTCACATAGGGGTGTTAGTGAGTCAAGCCGACTCTTGAACCGGCTCGGTCGCTTGACTCGATAAATGGCTCTTGAGCCAAGCTCAACGAGCTAATGAGCCAAGCTTGAGCTAGCCCCGACTTGACTCGTAACCTCGTGTGTTGGCTCGCTTAAAAAAATATTAATATAAAATATACTTAAATATGTTAGAAATATAGAGAGAATAAGGAGGATCTACATATGATATTTATTGATTTAGAAAAAAGCATATGATAAAGTTCCAAGAGAAGTGCTATGGAGAGTTTTTGAAAAGAAAGGAGTTAATAATGCTTATATTCAAATCATTAAAGATATGTATGCAGGAGTTATTACTTGTGTTCAAACACAATGTGGTTTGACCAAGTATTTCCATATTTCGGTTGGGTTACATCAAGGATCAGCCTTAAGCCCATATCTTTTTGCTTTAGTCATGGATGTTCTCACTAGGTGTTTTGGTAAGTTTCGTCCGATGAATGCTGTTAAATTCCTTTATTCACAAAAGCAAATGATTATATATAACACCTAAAATATTAAAGTTTACATATTATGCATTTACACCTCATCTCTCATCTATTGATGATATTTATAAATCTCATTAGACACTTGTTGGATCTCATTGGGCTCAAATTGTTGGGCACTTCGATGCCTTCTCGTCAAAGCACAGTTATCATTCATCACTATGATTTTACTGCGCACACTCACAAAAATCGGACGCAATTTCGATTAAGAAAAATAATAATCTCTCCTGATAAAAATTGATGAGACCACCGGCATATTTATGATATTACACAATGGTTAAGAGAGGTATTATTTTTATTTTATTTTGATATTTTAAGTGCTATGTATATAAATAATGAAAATTTTATTTTAAATGCATAAATCCCAATTTTAAAGTGCTATATATAAATCCCGCAAATTTTTATTATTATAGTTTGTGTAATTCACATTACTTACACCATTTTTTTTTTTAATAAATTCATCTATAACTACAGTTCAGTAAAACAAAATAATTCTAAGTTTATCAGAAAATTATATACTCTATTTGAAAATAAACAGTTTAATATATAATAATAAATAACAGTGCACGACACTATACCTCTTAAGTCGAAATAAAATAGTATTTTTACTGTTTAAAACGTGGCAGAAAATGATCGCTCAAGCGGAAAAAAAAAAAAATTAAAAAAATTTCTTCTTCTTAAATTGCTCGAACCCGATTGCATGTTACCGCTCGGCTGAAATCGTCAGGAGCGAGGCAGCGATGGTACTTATTTAATGGTATTTTCTCCCTTCTCCGCCGCTTCGTTCTTCCGCCCTCGCACTGCGGCCTCCCCATATCAATCGTTGCGTGCTCCTCTCTCTGTCTCTCTTTACCGGCCTCCATTACCGTCTCGCTTACCTCGTCTAAAGTACATATTTTGGGCGGAACGGCGCATTGCGCAGCAGATAAAGATGAAGTACATTTTGGTTTCTGGGGGAGTTGTAAGTGGACTGGGGAAGGGGGTGACGGCGAGTAGCGTTGGGTTGTTGCTCAAGGCATGCGGGCTCCGGGTCACCTCCATCAAGATTGGTATGCGGCTGGTTATCTTAAATCTGTCATTGTGGTCGTCGCTATTTGCATGTTTGTTTCAGCTGTTAGTTTCGATCATTAAGTAGTGTGTGGGGAGTTATTTTTTAATTTTTCTTTGATGCGTATATATTTTGAGAATTGGATGACGACGAAAGGCATTTGGAGGAGGGTTTTTGAGATTTGAAGAGAAGAAAGAAAAAATTTATTCTTGCTTTGTAGGGTTTTATTTAAGCGAGAAGCACCGCGATTTTTAGATTATTTGACGTCATCATTTATTAGGTCCTTTTTTTATCCTGGTTGCAGAAGTCTTTTTGATTAAAGCTGTTTGAATTTGGGTGGTCTCTGTGTAATTCTTCTTTTGTTTTAGCCTGGTTTGATTGTTATACCTACTGATATGAGTTTCGGTACTATAGAGAAACTAGTTCGATGGGATTAATAAAACTGATGAGTTTTTCCCTCCTTTTTCAATCAGTATGGGCAGTTTTTACTCTGTTGATTAGAGAAACTTCTAGTGTAAAAAGATGAAGAAAAGAGATTCAAAACTCAACTCTACCTGTCTTTCTCACCTTTTTATTTGTTGAAGGATGACATGTGCTTACCTTGGATAGTGTTAGGTAGCAGGGCCCCTCGATGGTGGGGCTTCTGAGATGAACTGAGACGAAAGTCGGGTTTCAGTCACCTCGGACAATTGTTTTTCTTTATTTCACTATTTGATGCTTCCATTCTAATTGATAAGAAAGCTGCATCTTGTTATTTCATGTAGGTATGGAATTCATTTGGTGCTGTTTGCTTGCAAGATTTAGCTATCATTTCAGCTAAATCTTGTCAAATAATTTTTTAGCCCCTTAAAAATACTACTATTTTCTTAAATTTCATTTTGTTCCTATTTTAGGCTAAATCCCAGATTTAGTAAATCCGAGTGAAGTAGTATTTAAGATTTTTACACTTTTTCTCATTATATCTCTTCTTCTACTTTGTTTGAATCTTAAATCTTAAAATATCTGTGGAAGAATTTATTAGAATTTTACTAAATTTATTATTCATCATACCACTCAGTTTTCAGTATTTAACACAGCCAGGATTTCCTAAATCTGAATTTGCAACATTTAATAAATCCTATGTGAATTGAATTCTTCTAGTAGCCAAACAGCCCTCTTAAAGTTTTTGACTGTAAAACACAAGGATTTGCAAAAATGGACTGAAAAATATTTCAGTTTTCCAAAGTTATCATTTTGCACCAAATTTATTGGCACATCAATTGTAACTTTTGACTGTTTATTTATTAAATTTATTTAGACTTTAAAAAGCTGATTTTTAAGCGGTTGTTTACAGATCCATACCTGAATACTGATGCTGGAACAATGTCCCCTTTTGAACATGGAGAAGTTTTTGTTTTGGATGATGGCGGGGAGGTGAGGAAAAGCTCTAACCCTTACAGTTGAGCCTCTATGTCTGTTCGTGTTTCTTAAAGTTTTATCATTCATTACTGATTTATTTTTTCTTTTGCACTTGTTGTCTGATATTGTTTTCTTCTCCCAAGTGACCTGAATGCGGTGATGCCTGAACTTTAGGGGACACCATAATTAGCTCCATTGAAGTTTTACTTTTTGGTTTGATTTATGATTTTTTTTTTTTGCTTATTTGGACCTACAATTTGTGGAAATGCAATTCTGTAAATGTATTCAACTAAATTGAAATTCTGCATGCATATTTTTTCCTTTTCATGCTGAGAGAAGTCTGGGTTGCTGCTAATGTAAAGAAGGATGTGAAAAAATATGCACCAATCATGCATAACTCATAGGAAATAAACTATTAATCTTAAGCAATTATTTGCGTCCTTTAATGACAACTTAAAATACAATGGAAATCAATTCAAATCGTAAATTTGATGGGCATCTACTATAATTAATGACTAGAAATTAAGGATAACAAAATTTGCTCGCATGTTTTGAAATTCACTCACTGGAAATCAAAATATATAAAATTTAACTAAAAGCATGGTTCAAACCAATAACCAAATGGGCATGCGTAGGGAACTTGTGGTCAATAAGAATTTCAATATGCACAATAACTTACCTACAGACAATATTAGCAAAATTATAGAGAATACAATAGCCTGCCTATAAACAATATGAATTAACTTGCAAATAACACATATACCACCTGCGAGCATGCATAGGGCCCAAGGTTTAAAATCGCGCAATTGGGTATTGAGGCGTTTTTTTTTTCCTGAGGCGAGGCGGAAGCCTCAAGGCGTAAGTCTCAAAATTCAAAAATTGCATGGAGTGAAAATAAAAGATTAAAAATAATTTTTATATAATACCCAAACCCAAATAATATGTTAAAGAATGACATATTAACCTTATATTGAACTATGAAATAATAAATTAACATATATATGAAACAAAAAATTGCACAAGATGTAAAGAGACAAGTGATAAATTGCGTGCAATAGAATTGAAATCCAAAATTACAACTTACAAGAGCAAAATAATATAAAATATAAAAATTACGTAAAAATATCCTATAACATCAAGTTCAATTCCAAATTCCTTTTTTCTCAATTCCACACTCATCCACATTTAATTCCTAAAAAAAGTTGACATAATTGGCAATAACTCATAAATTATATGCACTGTCATCACTGAGGGGGATTTTATTTGAGTCGTCATCATAACAAATTAATCTCACCCCTACCTCATCCTATGGAGTTCAATGCCTCTCAATTTATATCTTCTTCATTTATTTTAATCATCTTCCTCTTTCATAAATATTTTAGAGTATGAGATGGTGCGGTGAACGACTTTGAAGTGATTCCTGTCGGTGACTACAATGGTGGTGGCTATGGCAAAGGCAGTGGATTGGAGGTCGAGTCAATTGAGAGGAAGTTGTTGCAGCTTGGGGGTGCATTAAGGTATGATTTGTTCGGGATTTTAGTTTAGAATTTAGAGAAGTTTATATATATATATATATAAATCGGGTGAAGCGTACGTCTCATGCTAGTAAGGCGAGGCATACCTCAAGGAAAACCTCAGCCAAGCTGAGGCTCAAGCCTCATAAAAAAAGTTCGAGGCATAAGCCTCCAGGCATATTTCACTTGAATTACGCTGAGGCGAGCCTCATATTGCGCAATTTTAAACAATGACAGGGACTTTATAGTGAATGTGACACCACGCTTATGGGAAAAAACATGGAACTCACAATGGACAGAACAATACTCCTACAAGCATGGACAAGGAACTCATGGTGAATGTGTTAACTTGTCTACATGCACAGACTGATGTGTAAGGCACACTATAGCTCGCCGAAGGGCAACAATATGGGAGTGGAATGAGCACTACAATTCACCTGTGAGCAGGAGCATGAAATTCGTAGTGTTACAACTAGCCTAAAGGCAAAAACAAGGGGATCATATCAAATAAATCAACCCACCTATGGGAAAGAATAGAAGACTAGCAAGGAACATTACAATTCATCTATGAGCAGGAGCAAGGAATTCGTAGTACCCATGATAATTAGTCTATGAGCGTGGAGAAGAAGCTCATATCAAACAAAACTAGCTTGTCTATGGATAATAGCAGGTAACTTCTAATAAACACTACAATTCGTCTGTGAGAAAAAGCAGGGAATTGGTAGTGCATACAACAACTTACCTATAGGCTATAGGCGATAATAGGAGATTCGCAGCAAATAATCTATAACTCGCTTACAAACAAGAGCATAATCTCCTAATGTCTATTGAACAAAAATCCCGTCCGAGCTATGTTATTAGATGATATGATAATTCAAATGAGGTAACATGATAATAGGAAATACTTGAGTTCGCAAGTAATCCTAACCAAAATCGGTAAGCAAACAGCAGTTTTCAGGAAAACAACAAAATTCTGCTGTTGACAGCAGGAAATCAGCACAGTTTAGGGAAAACTGAGAGAAAAATGCAAGTAGAAACTTGTATTCCACTAGGAGATGCAACAAAATAGAAAAGATACAATTGATCCTCAATTCGAGAGGAGAATCGATCTCTCCCAAATCTCTAGACGCCGCTAGAGCCCAAAGAAAACCTAAATCTAAGAGATCTCAAATTTCAGCCAAAATTCAAGATGATCAAACCCTGGGAAAATCTACTATTTAATGCATACAAATCAAAAGGAAATCCCTAAGCAGTCCATACATTCAAATTTCCCTCTCAAATCCCTAAAAAATCCTTCCTAAAATGACTCCCGTGGACCTGCGGCTCACACGACGTCCGCAACAGGCGGAGTTTTTCTCCGCTGTTTCGCGTGTCTCGCGTCTGGGCCGGTCCCTCGTGGACCGGCTGGACCGGTCTAACAATATCCAAGGCCACCTGTTGGTTATGCTCTCCGCTCTCTATTTAGCAATTTACGTTGAAAGTATGTAGCTTGTGCCTTTTTAGTGGAGAGACGGTTATGCTAAATTC